TTGCTAACACAAGACACAGTAAGGCCAGTTTATCAGTTTAATGTTAATCACTCAGCTTTCCGCTGAATTATATGCTTTGATTTGTATGAAGACTTGAGTCTGCAGGTTATAATTGTGCTGGTTGGGCCTATGCACGGCATTAGATGGATTCATTTCCTGATTAAGTTAAATTAAGGAAATGGCACTCGTCCAGGTTGAAAATCCTCAATGCTGCAGCAGCAGGCCTTTAACAGGCTGCCTTGTTTCAAAGGCCTTACTTCTAATCTCATCCCAAAGTCTCCCCCCCCCCCCTTTTTTTTTAAAGCAGCCAGTCCATCCCTTAAAACACATCTTCTCCCCTTATAATCAGTATATTATTATTAAGTAAGTAAATTATTCAGATTTGCTCATGTTCCTCTGTGTCAAATGTTGTCAAAGCACAACAAATGTTCTCACTACTCACTGCAGGCTTGATGAAGCGATCTTGTCAAAAAGGCTTTGTTGGCAATTTCATGCAATCCATGTGAGATTTCCCGCTTTAAATAAAATAATGTTTTAGATTTGATTTCTTGGGAAGTGTCTGTTTGATTTGGGCTGTGATTTTTGACAGCAGTACGGTAGCGGTAATCTGTCAAAGGTGTGCCATCTGTTTTCTCAGACATGTTAACATTTTTCCGCAGGCGTATACATCACTATTAATTATTTTTCATTAGTTTTGTGTTATACAAAAAGCATGCTTCAAACTCAAACCTATAGCACAATTAGACAAACACATTTATAAGCTACAATATCTGTGAGTAACTCCAGCCAGTTAGAGTATTCACACAGGACGTCTTGAGGTGTCCTGTGGTGTTGTTGGCAGCAAAACCTTTTTGATTAGGGCAGGTAAAACGGATCAACGTAACATCTTTAGGAATCTCAGGACTCAAGGTTGCCCAAAAGAAGTAGCGTTGTCACATGGCAAGATGTTCCGTGCTATACACCTGTCTGTCTGAGAGTTTTTTCTTCATCTACCTTTTTTTATTTTCTTTTTTTTCTTGAGGGGAATGGAGGCATTCCACTTGGCATTTTTGCTGTCTCAGTGGGTTGTCTCCTTAAGAATAAAAGCCTGTGCAGCTATACATAATTTAAATGGCTCATTGAAGCTATCATTTGGGGTTGGGCTCCATTTTGCACATCCTTTTTTCACTAATTTCCTTCTTTTACAGAGCAAAGACGGCATTCGGGGACGTCCTCTGTATCCTCAGTGTTGAATTTTAAAACCTCATTATATCAGTAAAGATGTGGGTTGACCACCATTAGACTAGCTACCAGGTTTTTCCAAGGTTTTCTAGTCCCAGTAAGCATTATAGGCAGAGATCACCCTCACAAACTTCTGATGCACAAAACACATACACCTCTGTGAATATATCTCCAACTGGATCAATAGTTGCCAGTAGAAAAATGGTATCTGTCACCTAGCATTGATAAGTAAATGGGCATTGTGTTTAATATATTGGGGCAAACAACTCTTAACTAGTGCAATTCATTGCTATTCTATCTGAGAGATGTCCTATTTGATTCATCTCATTGGCGATCGTGGCTCAAGAGTTGGGAGTTTGCCTTGTAATCGGAAGGTTGCCGGTTCGAGCCCCGGCTTGGACAGTCTTGGTTGTTGTGTCCTTGGGCAAGACACTTCACCCGTTGCCTACTGGTGGTGGTCGGAGGGCCCGGTGGCACCAGTGTCCGGCTGCCTCGCCTCTGTCAGTGCGCCCCAGGGCAGCTGTGGCTACAATGTAGCTTGTCATCACCAGTGTGTGGATGGGTGGATGACTGGATATGTAAAGCTCTATACAAATACAGGCCATTTACCATTTGTAGTTTGCTGGGATAAGGTTGCAGGTTTATACAAAACATTTCAGAGTCTTGGAGGATACTGCATGACCTCTTGCCATTTAGTATTAGTCCTGAAGGCCATAAAGGACTCGTGAACAAATGTGATCATGTGACCTAGCTCACAGTGAGTTTGAGGAAGCTAGAGCTGATTATTGTAGTACTGGTCTGTCTGAAGATATCCACTTCACTTCAGGGTCACGAGATGCTAAGACTATTCGTTAGGCTCGATCAAATCAAAAATTACTGGCACGCAAAGCAGCGCCTTCAATTAAGGCACTGGTGTAAAGTTGTGTCAAATAAAATGTTTTTTTTATTGTTAAAGACTCGATTTGAGTTAACATAGTGACGTTTAAACTCAGTTTGTTGTCATAGCTGTGCAGTATTTCTGTCCTTGCTAAGACTAGACTTGAGGTTATTACATATTGTACGGTTCAGACACACTTTTAATGGGTTATCAACTGTTTCATAATGATTATTTAATGTCACAGCCTGTATAAAGTGAATAATTGTTGTAAGTCATGATTGAAAATCCTTGCTTGGTAGATTGTGCCAAATTCCTTCGCTGTAAGGCTATCTAACTCATTTCTGGGTAATACTACTAATGCTTGGTGATGCGTGTGTCGTACAAATCCCGTGCAAGTAGCTTGTAATTAATTTCCATTGATTGTGCAATCACTGAGAATTACACTTAATTATGCAATGACACAAATGCAATTTAATTGCTTCACTGAAATTGGATTTGGCAGGCTGTCACCAAATGTCATCTGAAAACATTTACATTGTGCGTTTATGCTTGTGTGGGTTTTCTGTTTACATCTGTGGTTACTATTTAAAGCTCATAATGTAATTGTAGCCCAGACTCTCTTGGAGAACATCAGGCACCTTCTTATTAGTAAAGTAATTTCACTGCATGGCATATTGCAATTGCTATGTAACTGTTAAAAGTCAGGTAGGAAAAACATCTGAAAATGTGTGCGTTTTGTGTAAGTCTTAGTGGAACGACACACTTTTATGAAGGTCTGGATATCCTTTGGGTCAGTTTGCTTACTAAAAGCGTTTCTGGAACAATTAGTTATCAGTTATTGAGTGTAAAAGTTTAACAATACACACATTCATGTGTACATTCGTGAGAATATCCATGAACATTTTGAAGCACAGATCCGGTAATTAATCGTAAAGCTGTTTGTTGAAACGGTGTTGTCTTGTTAATGAATTTTGTGCATAGGATCAGCATTATCATGTGCAATTAATTGGTAGATTTTAAGATTTCTGTTCATGTAACCTTTTACCATTTTTTTTCTTTGTTATTGATGTAAAGCAACCAGAAATGTAAAAATGCAATTTTGAGCTTTTAAACAAGGTGATTAAAGGAGAATATGGCTCATGAAATAATTATCATGCTGAGCTATGAACGTATTTGAGTAACTGCCAATTATGTTTAGTACTGTGTCTGGCAAAGAGTGTTTGATTATAATTACAGTTTGATGTTATGCCAAAGTTTTTATATTGTGTGAAAAATGCCAAAGTGTGTGTGGACAGATACAAAGCATTGATAATGGACCCTCCCACTGTCTTTTCTTTAAATCCAGTTTGTGTCTGACACTCTCTAAATGGGCCTTTTAATAGCAAACCAGGCTTTTAGAGGCTATTATTT